TATCTTTTTTTAAATGTATTTGGGACAGTTTAATTTGTCCCGTAAACTATGGTATATTTATTTGGCTTCTAAACTTTGCTATATCGTTTGATTGTGAAACGATGTACGATGTTGTATTTTATTTGAATTATGTTTGAAAAAACATGACTGACCGGTCTCGAGGGCGAAAATGCATCCGCGTGTTGGAAGCACGGCGGATCTAAACGCAAAAATGAACGAATAACGAGCAGATGACCGACCCAAACAAACAAAAAGTGAATAAAGCACATGTCCGTTTGAGTTGGTGCGTTGGAGTTACTCTTATTAAGATTATACATATTATAGTTTGAGATTGACATGTACGTAGTACACGGGACATCTTTGTCTTGGGTCCGCCCCTGATGTTGCGTGAAGAGGTTTGGAATCTTTGATATCCATTAGTTTGATTTGCATGTCCCTGATCTCAAGCCCAGACAATATTTAACTTCAAAGTACTCTAGGCATTCGTATACTCTGCACATAGTACAGTTTTGCTAAGTCTCGGTCGACTAAAACCTCGCTAAGTCTTAGTTGATACAATATCCATAAAATTTTACATTGAGATTTATGTAAACTTTTTTTAGATTTTTTCTCTCTCTTACTTGTTATGTCATTTGGCTGAGATTTGTTTAAATCTCATTCGATTAAGACCTAGACACACCCCTACTCATAACTAAACCAGATCACAGACCGGCGAATACAACTACCGTATTCTACCAGATCATGCGGGGAGCAAGGAGCAACTGCCGGCGAACATCATATCCACGTCAGCGCGTGTCACCCCAGCTTGCGTCTCTGAGCACGTATGTGAAAAGACGGTGAGGTGGAGCCCGGCGCCGTTGTCGCGGAATCAAAGAACAGCGTGAGAAACTATACTAGCAAAAGCCAGAGCATGACATCCGTGTGGTGGTGGCCTAACGATTCTCCGGTCTTCGTTATCAGAAAAATAGGTAGGTTCAAATGGTCAAAGATGCAGTCACATTTCACCAACCAGGATGCCGCTTTCTCGAATTTTATATCCCGGCGGAAAGACTTGCAGCACAATGCTGGCCACTTAGGCCCTATTTGCTTCATAAGTCTTAGGACTTTTTTTATTTCCAACTTATAAGTCTCAAAATTTTAAAAAATCCTTATCTGTTTGATTCCTGGGACTTATAAGTCTCTATAAGACCATATTACAACTATAAGTCCCTTTTTAAGAGTCTTATTTCATAAGTTCTAAATGCCTAAGTCCCTATAAATCCCTCCTGTTTGGTTTAGATGGGACTTATAAGGACTTATTTAATTCCCTAGACCAATAACTCCCTGGAAACAACACCCTCTTAGCCGTTCGTTTCCTGTTGTTTTGGTGCATGTCGAATTAAGAACAAGTGTATGCTGGCTTGTTTGAGACTGCTCTACTTCACCAAAATCAGTTTCGCTTCATTAAATTTACTTTGAAGCAATTTTAAGCAGAAGTTGTAGCACTACCAAAAAGAATGTTTGGCTTCCATCTAGCTTCAGCTTCAAAAATGGGAAATTTGGTGGAAAAGATTTATTTGATTGATTGAGGACGGAGAAACGAAGGGGTATCCACTTACTTGTGGCAGTGGTGAGTAATTTTCACAGAGCGGCATATCATGAAGCTACCCCATTTGACTTGTGTTTTTCGAAACAGAGTTGAATTTTAAGGAGCAGAGCAGTCCCAAATAGGCCCTTAATCATCCTCTGAGGTTGAGTAGGACCAGGTAACAATTGTATTCTGGAGGGCGTACGCAAGCACTCAGCATTTTCGCACACGCACATCTGGAGTACGCTTCTCTCGACATCTTGACTGGACTAACAAAATGACAGTTAGGCGTACTACGTACGTATACTTTGCCTTTGTCTACCGAACAAGTTCCATCAACCAGCGGACAGGTTCCAACCCTACAGTAGATATGATAGCTACTCCTAGCTAGTTACTGTAACTCAGTGAGCACAGCCCTCGCAAAAAAAAAAAAAACCCTCAGTGAGCACAGGGCTGAAGCAACCGAGTGGCCATAGACTCATAATAGGAGCCACGCGTGAAAAGTCGGGAGAGTTTCGTCTTGGCGTATACTACCTGCAGGCAGTACCCGCCGTGGTAGGAAGGGGTTGGTGCAACGAATTGACCTGCTGCTGCCGCCTCCTACCCTATCCTGGCCATGCATGCACTCGTGCGGTAAGAACATAAGTAACTTACACATTTTTCTAGACTATGTTATTACCTTCATAGTGGGTAGGAACATCTATATAGTATCATGCAACGATGTATTTATTAGGTTATAGACTCATTGTTTCTTGGAGTGTGTGATGTTTCGGTAACTTAGCTAGTTATCACAAACACCTCTCTCTTCATTAAATATGTGCCACATAAGCAAAGTTGTATTGAAGTGTGTGATGTTACTCCTAAGTTCCTCCCTATTGTGACCAGCCTTAAGATCAATCGGCTAGCACCTCGCGGTGCACAACGGGCGAAGCATGGATTATATAGTATCGTGTGGATCGTGGAGCAGGTGATGCCGTAACATATACTCCCTCCGTTTTTATATATTTGTCTTTTTAGAAATTTCAACAAGAACATACGAAACAAAATGAGTGAATCTATATTTTAAAATATGTCTGTATACATCCGTATGTGGTAGTCTATTTAAAATCTCTAAAAAGATATATATTTAGAAATGGAGGGAGTAAAATACTCTGTCCACCCGCACGCGCGTGGAGATGAAGACCATCGCTAGCATTGTAGAAATACGCACGCGCAACAGAGGTCACTAGACTATGGGTCGATTAGCCAGTCAATGTCGTATGAGTATTTGTTTGTATAATACTACATGGTGATAGGTACATGTGCTTCCGGGTTGTTTCCGTATGTATGGGAGTGAGGATTAGTCAATGCATCCGGACGGATCCTCGCTCTCCTCCATGTTTTCAATTCTCGGGTCCGCAGGATTCTTAATAATGCGGGATAGAAAAAAAATATAAGATTGGAAGGAGATGCTATGTTGACCCTGCATGAATTGAAAACACAAGAATCTACAATGGAAGGTGTTTGAGTGAGTTCTCGATGACCTCAGCATATCAGGCATTGTGGCGGCTGGTCGCCCATCATGCCCTAGCTTTCTCCTCAGTGGAGGGCATCATTGTCCTTGAAAATTAAGATTTTTGTGTGACAACTACAACAAGATCCGCATTCCCTTGGGGACCGAGGTGCTTAAGCGGCATAGCCCGGGTGATGGCATTTGCCCCTCTTTGTGTGGTCTTGGAAAATGGGACCCGCATCCTATTCTGTGGGCGTTGTTTGGATAGGGCACATATATAAAATCTGATCTCTACAAACCAGGAAAACGGTTCAACCAAATAAAATCTTGTTTGGCTACAATTACTAATCCACGTTTATAGAAAACTTGGTTCTCCAAATCCCCGGATTTCAGGTTTGTGGAAAATCGACTATTATCCGTTTTTCCACAATCGCGATCACCATATACGTGATCGTAACAGCTTTCCTCTCCGCCTGGTTGTTTCCAACAGCTTCATGCCGTTTGTTGCGTTTTTTGCCTCTCACCTCCAGCCTCGACATGGCCGCCGTCCGTGTGGACGGCGTCGAGCAATCTCTTGAGATCTGCTCTTCCTGGTATGGATGCTCCTGGACGGCCAACGTAGGCGCGGCGAAACTGCGAATGAGCTCAACCCGAGCAGAACCTATGCGGTGCCGATGAGGGATGCTCCTGGACGTCCAACGTCGAGGGGCGGCGGACCAGCAGCTCCCCGAGCAGAGCCTATGCAAGCCGACGAGGGACGCTTCTGTACGGCGAGCGCCGAGGGGCCGCGAGCAGCGTGATGAGCGCGAGCAGCAGCTCTCCTTGAGCAGAGCCTATGCGCGACCAGGGAAAGCCTCCGCGCACGAACCGCGAAGTCATCGAGGCCATCCCGTAGGGAGGAGTACCGGCGTCTACGTGCTCGTAGGTGAGCTTGGGAATCCATCGGCAATGACCAAAATTGAGTAAAGTAAGAGAGAGAAGGTCATGGAAGGAAGCGAATCGGTATCTATCCAAACAAGGAAACACACAAGCCAGTTTTACCCCTTTCCAAATCCAAACGTGTTATTATGTAAATCAGTAATCCAAAGATTAATTAGCAAAACCGATTTTGCTAAAATCCTGCTACAAACTCGTTTTCCATATACCGGCTGCTATCCAAACAAAGCCGTGGACTTTCATCTGTGAGGCACTGGGCCAAACTGGGAGGCCCTAGACTTTGCGGGGTTCCTTCAGGCCATAGCTACCTAGTCTGGGTGGCAGCGCTGCTTATTCTAACTTATTTTTTATGATAATGTCGTGGACGTTGTGGACGACACGTAATAAAATGATGATTGAGCGGGCCTTTCCCAGCAGGCCTCTGACTCCTTCAAATTTGCACCTGCTCTTTGGGAAATGCTACACTTACAGACTGTTTAGACATGAAAGGAGTTACGGATGAAAGTGCAAATCTGTGGTTGGTTAGTTATGGGACCCTCAACAAAATTCAAGGTGGAAGAGATTAATGAAGAGCAGAAACGTTAGCACGTAACCTCTTTACTGTGCCCAATCCCCCGTAAGTGTAGGATTATTGCCTGCTCTCTAGGCAGCGCGACCGTGGCGGCTCGGGCTCATGTTGGCTACGCTTCTGGTTACCGCGCGTCGCTTATCTTCTTCATGGGGCCGTATGTTGGTCGCCACTCGGTGGCTTTTTATCTTCTTAATTATTTCTCTTATGCTTTTTTTGGGCGTGATTATGTTGTTGCCCCAGCCATCATATTTGCTATTCCTTACTAGTAGATACAGTAAATTACATACATGTATTATAATTTTTTTACATGGAAATTACATACAAATTGTTGGACAGTATTAGATCCACACGTGATACACGTTACGACGTATGTTTTGTATATGCGGCTGCACCAGGACGAGTACGTACGTGGGCAGGTGCTCGATCGCGGGCACCTAGATCTCGGCGGTGAGACATTCCACCTCGAGCTGGAACTTCTCCATGGCGTCCTTGGGCAGGCTGATGGGCACCACGGTGCCCTCCTCCCCCTTGCCGTTCTTGGACCTGGAGAAGTAGTTGGTCACGCCGGGGATCGGCCCCTCGCCGCCCTTGGCCGGCCCGCCGTACACGGCCTCACCCCACCCGAAGTCCACGCTCTTGAACCCGGCGTGGCTCACGTCCGACACGATGTACGTCCGCGACAGCGCGAACAGGGGCCGCCCCCGGAGCACCATCAGGTCCGCCACCGACAGCAGGTAGTCGTACGTCACGGCCGACTTGGCCTTCTTCACCAGCTCCAGCGCGTACCCCAGCCCGCCGGTGCAGAGCTCCCCGGCTGTGGTCGCCGCCACGGAGTAGGCGAACGCGTTCCCGTAGAAGCCCTCCGGGAGCGGCACGTCGCGGCGGCCGCGCGCGTTCACGATGAAGGACAGCCGCACCTCCTCGTCGGCGCCGTAGCCGAGCGCCGCCGTGCGGCCGAGCCAGATGCACGCCGCCACCAGCTCGAACCGGGAGCTCCGGCTCATGTGCGGCGGCGCGCGCTGCCGCAGCCCCGCGATCTCGCGTGGCCCGAAGAAGAAGGGCACGCGCGCGACGTCGCCGGGAGGAGTCGTCAGCATCCGGTCGACCGCCCCGCCCGCCGGCTCGCTGTACTCTAGGTGCGGGTACGACGGCTGCGGCGGCTGCCTCGCCATGAACATCTCCCTGCCCCATGACGGCGTGATCGACGGCGCGGCGGCGCCGCACGCCAGCTCGCAGACGGCCTTCTCGAACTGCATCCCGGCCGGCGCGTCCACCACGCAGTGGCAGAATCGCTGCCCGAAGATGAAGCCCCCGCACTTGAGCCTCGTCACCTGCACGTCATAGTTAAGTTAACAACATCGTTATTTACCTGGAGAAACAACTCGATCCATCTCACGTGACAGGGACACGTGCACGTTTACGTACCTGGATGTAGAGCAAGGGGCGGTCGATGACGGGCTCGACGCCGGCGACGGTGGTGCTCTCGAGGATGAACTGCTCGAAGCAAGGGAACGGGGGGCTCTGCACGTCCCCGAAGTCAGCGGCGGTGAGGTCCACGTCGGCCTCCACGAACATGACGCCCTGCGCCTCGCAGTCGACGACGAGCTTCCTCCCGGCCTCCTCGCGGAGGCGGCCGGCGAGCGGGTAGTAGGGCACGAGCGCCCTGGCCAGCGCCTCCCTGATGACGGCGGCCGGGTCGACCCCCTGCTTGTCCGGGTTGGCGCGGTACAGGTGGATGCCCGAGCTGTAGAACCGCATGCCCTCGCCGTCGTCGATGTCGGACAGCGTCTTGGTCTCCCGCGGCGTCTGCTCCGCCGGGGCCACCAGCACCGGCTCGCCCCGCCGCACCGTGAACGCCGGGAGGAGCGACGATGCCATCGATTCGAAGCGAGGTAGCTAGCTAGTCTCTGTGCGTACGTACGAGCGTGTGTAAACGCTGTGGGAAATGCAGTGCGTCGTGAGAGGACGCGGAGTGGAGTGAGTGTGCTGGGTGACCATGGCCGCGTTTTATAGGGTAAGATGTTGGGGTTGGTGCCATGGCCATACGGCCATTTGGTCGTCGGAATTCCGGTGTCTGGCCAGTAGGTGGACTGAGAATGAGATCGGTGGTCGTGTGGTGGGAGTTGGTCAGTGGATTTCGCCATTTAGCCATACAGGATAAGCAAAGACCCGACACGCACGCGCGGGCGCACACAAGAACGGATTAGGCAGCAAGCAATGATAGCAAGCACGTACGTACTACTCCATTAGATCTCGTGCGTGATCAAAGTCGCGTGGAAAACCGTAAACAAATTCCCGGCGAGAAGGACGTGTCAACTGTTCGACGCCACTCTGGGTCGAGATTCAGGTGCGCACCTGCATGGTGAGTGGCGTAGGCGTCCAGCAGGAGCATGTAGGTGCGCCGGTTCCGCGCGACCCCGTCGTCGGCCATCTGGAGGAGGAGGCGGTCGGCGAGGCGGAGGTGCGCCCGAGCGAGGAGGCCCTCGAGGAGCGCGTTGTAGTGCGCGGCGTCCAGGCGGAGCCCGAGGTGGCGCATCTCGAGGAGGAGCGCCTCGGCCTCGAGCGCGCGTAGGCGGCGGCGCTGGGGCGCAGCCCGGCGGCCTGCATGTCCGGGAGGAGTTGGAGCGAGCGGGCGAGGTCGGAGCCCGCGCGGGGCTGGATGTCGCGGTCGTAGGACTCCCACGGCCGCTCCCGGTGGTGGTCCGGCGCGGTTGAGCAGCAGGCGACGGCGATGGTGAAGCCGCGGCGGCCTAGAGTCAGACGCTGGAGGGGCGGAAGCTGCAGCGGAGGGTGAAGATGCCGGCGGACGAGGCAGCAGGCGTCCATGGATATTGGAGCGCGCGCGTGTGCTCGCTCCCGCTGTGGTTGGGTTGGAGGCTAGGAGCCGACCGGGGAGACGAGTTTTTTTTTTTTTTTTTTGAGAAACGGGAGAAGAGTAATGGACCGGGGAATATTTCCAAACGCAACCTAGCCAAATGGGCCAGCCCGGCCTGACCTGGGCTATACACTCAAGGACAATCTTTTTGGACTTTTTTGGTACTTCTCCAACAATGTCCTTCCTGCATCATTGCCCCGCCATTTCATGATGTTGTTTGGTTGTTATTTTTCTATATACTATAGATGACATGGTCTTTTACATGTCATTTAATAACCTTTAGGAAGGGAGTAGGAACTTTTTAGTCCCTGAAACAAACAGGAAGAGATTGGGGACTCTTTAGTTGGGACTAGAAAAAATCCTAAGACTTTTTAACCAAACATGGCCTTAGACCTAGGCACACCCCTGCTGTCAAAATTTCGTATTTTGACCCTTATCGCATACAAATTCAGGATCTGACCCGGTTGAGAATTTTTTAGGATTTGACCCTTTCGCTACCGCCACGGAGCCTGGTGGTAGGGTTAGTCAATTCAAGCTTTGTAGATAGTAACACTACTATTAGCGTCCGTCTTCCTCTTAAAGATCCATTTATTCTCAATGGCTCGCCGATCATCGGGCAAGTCAATCAAAGTCCATACTTTGTTCTCATACATGGATCTCATCTCAGATTTCATGGCCTCAAACCATTTTGCGGAATCTGGGCTCATCATCGCTTCCTCATAGATCGTAGGTTCGTCATGGTCAAGTAATATGACCTTTAGAACAGGATTACCGTACCATTATGGTACGAATCGTACTCTGGTTGACCTACGAGGTTCGGTAGTAACTTGATCTGAAGTTTCATAATCATCATCATTAACTTCCTCACTAATTGGTGTAGGCATCACTGGAACTGATTTCTATGATGAACCATTTTCCAATTCGAGAGAAGGTACAATTACCTCATCAAGTTCTACTTTCCTCCCACTCACTTCTTTTGAAAGAAACTCCTTCTCTAGAAAGGATCCATCCTTAGCAACAAATATCTTGCCTTTGTATCTGTGATAGAAGATGTACCCAACAGTTTCTTTTAGGTATCCTATGAAGACACACTTTTATGATTTGGCTTCGAGCTTACCAGTTTGAAACTTTTTCACATAAGCGTCGCAACCCCAAACTTTAAGAAACGACAGCTTTGGTTTCTTACCAAACCATAGTTCATACGATGTCGTCCCAACGAATTTAGATGGTGCCCTATTTAACGTGAATGCAGCTGTCTCTAATGCATAACCCTAAACTGATAGTGGTAAATCGATAAGAGACATTATAAATCGCACCATATCTAATAAAGTATGGTTATGACATTCAGACACACCATTACGTGTGGTGTTTCAGGTGGTGTGAGCTGCGACACTATTCCACGTTGTTTCAAATGAAGACCAAACTCGTAACTCAAATATTTGTCTCTACGATCATATCGTAGAAACTTTATTTTCTTGTTACGATGATTTTCCATTTCACTCTGAAATTCTTTGAACTTTTCAAATGTTTCAGACTTATGTTTCATCAAGTAGATATATCCATATCTGCTCAAATTATTTGTGAAGATCGGAAAATAACGATACCCGTTGTGAGCCTCAACACTCATCGGATCGCATACATCAGTATGTATTATTTCCAATAAGTCAGTTGCTCGCTCCATGGTTCCGGAGAACGAAGTCTTAGTCATCTTGCCCACGAGGCATGGTTCGCAAGCATCAAGTGATTTCAAAAGCCCATCAACATGGAGTTTCTTCATGCGCTTTACACCAATATGACCTAAACGGCAGTGCCACAAATATGTTTGTCGGAGTAAATAACCACGGGTAGCCTAGCCGGCTTCCCCTGGTTCTTCAGAAAAATTATAGGCCGATTGAGCCTCCAAGCGTCCAAGACATGGGGCAGCCTTCCCCCAGCTGGCCACCTCTCAGGCCGGCTGCGGAAAGGCGACCCAGCCCTGGAAACCTTGAGAAACAAGACCACGAGAAGGCCGGCTCCAAGAAGCCGGCCATGAGAAGGCCGACTCCAAGGAGCCGGCCCCTCAACAGGCGGCCAAGGTCATGCTCTCAGAGTCTGCGCCCACATAACGGTGACGAGACGGGGCGTGGCTACAGTGAAGCCTGCCACCCCCGAATCCCGGAGCACGCATGGCCACAGTGCGTCGTATGGGACGGCCATCACCTGTCCGGCGCGACACTGTTGCCATGTTGATCATGACATCACCCACGGCGAGCGGTCAGTACGACCCGTGGGTGGCGGGCCCCCTCAGTCAGGGAGAACCCAAAGGCGGCCAGGCTTCCCGCAGCCGACCTGGGGTATGGCCGGCTCTCTCCCTCAAAGGAGGTACCTAATTAAGGAGATAAGACGAGGTAAGGCTATAGTGATGAGCCGCCCCGCGATGGCACTGTAGCCATGCTTACCACGACAAAGCCCTCGTCACCAGAGGCAAGTCAATAGTAACCAGCCTCCGACAAGACTCCCGAGCGGTGGGGCCAGCCTGTCGACCAGAAGGTCGGCAGCCGGCGGGGCCTACCGGGCGGCGGGCCCATCGATCGGCGGAGAAGTCGGCTAGCGTAGACACAGACGACTGGGGCCCACGCCCAACCGGATTACCATTGTACCCCTAGGGGGTAGGCCTATATAAACCCCCCAGGGCACCCATGCAAGGGGGATCTCTCTTTGGATAGTTTTAGACACGGCAACGAGAGGAGGAGCAGGCAAGCCTGGCCCTTCTTCATCCTTTCACCAAACAGCTCAAGGAGCCTCTTATAGCTACTTGTCAATCTAGTGACCATGCGGAGACAGAGCAGCAGTAGGGGTGTTATCTCCATGGAGAGACCTGAAGCTGGGTAAGATCCGCCGGCGTGCATGTCTTCGCCTTATCCCGTTTCCAGACACCGGCGATGTTTTATTGGCTCCCACAATGATAAGCCACCCGTTGGCATATGTCGCACCAACCACCCGACAATGTTGCACTATCATTATCAACTTTGCATCTTTTGGCATCAATATTATGAATATGTGTATCAGTACGATCGAGATTCAATGAATCATTCACCTTGGGTGTATGACCTCAGAAGGTTTTATTCATGTAAACAGAATAACAATTATTCTTTGACTTACATGAATAACCGTATTGCAATAAACATGATCCAATCATATTATGCTCAACACAAGTATTAAATAACATTTATTTTAGGTTCAACACTAATCCCGAAGGTAAAGGGAGAGTGTGCGATGTTGATCTTATCAACCTTGGAATTACTTCCAACTCACATCATCACCTTGCCTTAACTAGTCTCTGTTTATTTTACAACTCCTGTTTCGAGTTACTACTCTTAGCAACTGAACCAGTATCAAATACCGAGGGGTTGCTATAAACACTAGTAAATTACACATCAATAACATGTATATCCAATATACTTTTGTTCACTTTGCCATCCTTCTTATCTGCCAAGTATCTAGGGCAGTTCCACTTCCAGTGACCATTTCCTTTGCAGTAGAAGCACTCAGTTCCATGCTTGGGTCTAGCTTTGGGCTTCTTCATGGGAGCAGCAACTTGCTTGCTATTCTTCTTTGAAGTTCCTCTTTCTTTCCCTTTGCCCTTTTCTTGAAACTAGTGGTCTTGTTAACCATCAACACTTGATTCTATTTCTTGATTTCTACCTTCACCGATTTCAGCATCGCGAAGAGCTTGGGAATTACTTTCATCATCCCTTGCATATTATAGTTCATCACTAAGTTCTAGTAACTTGGTGATAGTGACTAGAGAACTTTGTCAATTACCATCTTATCTAGAAGATTAACTCCCACTTGATTCAAGCAATTGTAGTATCCAGACAATTTGAGCACATGCTCACTGGTTGAGCTATTCTCCTCCATATTGTAGGCAAAGTACTGTCAGAGGTCTCATACCTCTCTACACGGGCATGAGTCTGAAATACCAATTTCAGCTCTTGGAACATCTTATATGCTCCGTGACGTT